AAAAAACTATTTCCCCCTAGGGGATCAATAAAGTATATCTTCTTCTTCTTCTAAGTTTAGTTCATTTAAAAATGTATTCAACTTATTATTTTTAGTTTGGCAGGAAGTTATGTTAACTGCTTTTATTAAAATATGCTGTCTGATTATAAATGTTTACTGACTGACTTTCTGACTGGTATTCACAGTGTTATCATACGTACATATTCAGATGTCTTTACCGACTGTTTATGATCACATGTGGACAAATTTAAGGACTGTTTGTTTTTCAGGTGCAGAAATGTCTCAGCTGTCTGTCCTGCTGCCTCTCACAGGTACAGTCTGTCTGTCTGTCTGTCTGTCTGTCTGTCTGTCAGTCTGTCTTCCTACTTCAACGTACCTCGGGGGTAGATCTTAATTATTATCATTCTTTCATGAATTGCAGCCGTTTTAAAACAGTAATAAATGAATATTTTAATATTGATCACTCACCTGCTGATCTCTCTTTCTCTGCAGGCCTTTTATTCCTGATCTCCTCAACGTCCGGCTCAGAATCCAGTGGTCAGTCCTCAGTGTTACCCGTCTGTCTGTCTGTCTGTCTGTCTGTCTGTCTGTCTGTGGTAACCGTAGCAACAGTGCTTCTGCTTCCTAACCCGACCTGACAGGTTAAACTAGAAACACATGGAGGACGATTTAATCACATTTTTCAATCCAGAATCAGCTGTAAAATATTCTCTGATAGATTGATCTCAATGTTTTTGATGTTTGTTAGTTTGTGTAGTGTGGATCCGAATCACAGGGCCAATACACTTTCAGTTCATAATAATAATAATAATAATAATAATAATAATAATAATAAACAATCACCTTTTAAAAACAGTTTACAAAGTGCTTTGACAAAAAACAAATATACACAAATATAATGAAATATATAAATAATGAATAATACAATAATAAAAGGAGAATAGAAGCCATAAAATTAAATGAATATAAAATAATAAAATAGATGAAATAAAGTGAAAGAGGTTTTATTTCGTCACAGATTGTCACAGCCACATTTAGATTAAAGCCTCGACTTTGGAACATCCAGAAAGACCTGAGGACCATTATAAACCCAACGGAGTGATTACGAGATAGTAACAGCGGTGGTTCTCAACCTGAGGGTCCCGAGTCCTGCCTGGATCACAAGATTAATCTGAGACCAGGTGATGATCACTTTTCTGGCTTTACTCCTAAACTGTAGGCATGGCCGGATCAATACTTTGATACTCAATAGCTACTGATTTTGTATCGATTACTCTTATAAATGATCAATAATACAATTATATAAATCAAAACGTTGGTGGCTGAATCATTTGCAAACGTTTTCAGCTGCGATATTTTAATGTTTGTCCCAAAACAGCTCAGACATATCGAGTTAGTCTGTGTCACATGACTGTGGAAACCAGTGAGACCTTTAATCTGAAAGAGCCACCGAGCAGCAGCAGGAGGAACCTCTCCAAACATTCAAAAACAACACAACCTCCTTATATATGGTTATATAAGGTTATAACGGGAAATAAAACACTGTAAAAACTGTCAAACAATGGCAGTAAAACTCTGATATCTCATGGCAAAACCTTTATTTACACACATTTTAAAGGAATTTATGCAGAATAAAGTTACAGTAACTACTGTGTAAATTACACCATCGTCAGTACATTCATATTGTATTTTCATAGCAAAACTCCCACTTTAACCATAAAAGCAACAGTATTAATATAATTTTACCGTAACAGTAACCGTTTTTTACTGTAAAAACAATTTTTCTAAAAATGATATGATATTTTGAAAAATCACATAACCATTTAAGATAAATAATAGCTATCAGTATCGTATTAAAAACATTGGTATCGCCCATCATTACTTTGTATGTCAGATCTTTGCGTTGCTAATTTTAGCTGTTCGGGCAGATAAAGTGTTCCTATAAACAATGTGAGGCAGCAATCTCTCCGTCTGAAGGCTCTTCTCTTCACTTTGATGATTTATTTCAGTCCCTGTGTGTCTCTGGACGGGCGGAGGAAACTTTAAACGTCGCTGTTTGACTTCTTGTTGATCCTCAGATCTTTTCTTTCAGTGTTTATATTGAGCCTGAATCATAAAAATGTCTGAAATTTAAACTAACCGCTCATCTTTTCTCTCTATAATAGATGAAACAGATGAAAAGCTCCTTTTATCCCGTGTCAATCCGGACTGTATTTCAATGACTCGCTCATGAATAGTATTATTATGTAACAGTAAACTCTCTTTACCCTCAGTCGTAAATCCAGCTGATTCTCGCAGTGTTTGAGTCAGTTTTATCTTTTCTAAAGTTTATTTAAATAAAGATTATTATAACTATCAGTGTCTGTACAACCAGCTGAAAACATTATTACCATCAATATTTATTTAGAATTTAGCTTTTTACAAAGTGGTTATATTTAGTCTCTTAATTAATCTTAATCACACGTGTTTTTAAAAGTCCGGGTGAAATAAAAAATATAATTCTAACCCTTTAAGATCACATCCTCAGTTAATCACACAATTACAATCACTGTACAAACACACCACTTTATTATCACTGTACAAACACACAACTTTATTATCACTGTACAGACACAACTTTATTATCACTGCGTAGCAAACACACACTTTTATTATCCACTAGTACAAACACCAACTTTAATTATCACTGTACAAACACACCACTTTATTATACGTGTACAAACACAACTTTTTAATTATCACTGTACATGGACCACCAAACTTTATTGCTGTGAAGTTGTTTCTTTTGCTGCTGACGGGTGAATTTTTAATCTTATTTAAGTTTAAAAATCATAAAAAAAAACAAATCTCAAATAAGGAATCAGAGAAATGTTTTTATATTAAACTAATATTGATTTCTCCTCATTAATACTGTCAAACATTATTATTGATCAGTGCCGTACCCGGTGACCTGTGTGACCCGCGGGGCCGACCTGACGGAGGACGGCGTGGTGGTTCTGTGTCCTCCGGACTGCACCCAGTGGAGGGTGTCCGTGTTCGGGACGGGAGTCTACGCCTCCGTCTCCTCTGTCTGCGGAGCTGCTGTCCACAGGTGGGACCCCTGCTCTTTGTCCCTGTCTCTCTCTCTCTCTGTGCTGATTGGTCGCAGTCAGACAGGTTGGATGGAGGTTTGGTTGGGTGTAGATTTACAGACACGTGGCTCAAACAGTGGCAGCTGCAGGTGTGACACAATAATGAGCAGCGTGAGTCCTGCTGTCTGCTGAACCTCAACACAACACCAACACCCTGAAGGAATGTGCAGGACTGAGGGATTAAGCTCTCGACCCTGAATGACCTCCTCCCTCTGCAGAAGGAGGCCCCGCGAGGAGAAACTCTGCTCCCTCAGGATCCGTCTTTCACTCCTTCAGATCTCGTCTTCCTGTCTACTGTTTTTCTTTCAGACATTTTTCTCTGAAGTAGTGCTTATTTTTATGCAAAGCTCCAGAGTCAGTGTGGAAAGTTCAGCCCCGGCCAGCAGGAAGAGCGCCAGGTGGTGAAGCCAATTTCTCATAGCGGCCAAACCTAAACCCCGCCCCTTTGCAACCGCAGTCAACTTTATCCTGTCCTGTACGCGATTTAACCCAAACCAAACTCTCTCCTCTCGCCTAAACCTACCCAACCCAACCAGTCCTAGCCAATCAGAGGCAGAGTAGGGCGGGTCATGACTTTGTCATTCTGTGAAAAAACTAGCTGTCTTGTATTCTGATATGCTGTGTGCTAGCCTCGTGTGGAAACAACAACCATTTTAAAGTGGTTAAACGACAGAAAAGACGTATATAGAATGTATATTATCACATTTTAATGTTAGCTACTGTGAGCAAAATGCTAGCTATCTATTTCTTTTATTAATGTTTAATATTGTTTACATTGTGTGTAAAGAGCCTACTTTTGATGGTATATTATCATATTGTACTGATTATACATCAAGAAAAAAACTAGCTAGCTATTTGACATCAGTTTTTATCAATCTAATTAGCTACCTAACAATCTAGCTAAAGATTCATGTGAACAGCTGTTTGAATAGTTTGAATGATTCTGGATCTCTCAGGTTGTTAGTTGATAGACAAAACTACAAAAATAAGACCCAACTTGTAATAAACCAGAATCACTCAGTATAGAGACAGTTTAAGGTTTTGTGTTTTGTGTGTCGGGGCTCTGTAGGGGGGTTCTGGGTCCGTCCGGAGGCCCCGTCAGGGTCCACAAGCTGCAGGGACGACACAACTACATGAGCTCGTACGCCCACGGCATCCAATCACAGGCCCTGACCCACTGGACTGCCTCCTTCAGCCTCACCAGTAGGTGGAGCCATTTAGGTCATTCATTGATTGGTTTGTTGATTGATTAGTTCATTAAAGTATATGTGTGTGTGTGTGTGTGTTTGACCAGAGCCAGTTAACGTTCCTCTGGAGTTGACCAGTGACACCAGCACCACAGCTCTGCCTGCAGCCGCACAACCAGGTAAATGATACACGTTATTATATATTAATACCACAATATAGTACTGTAATACTAATAATACACTGTAACTACTGCACTACTAGAAAGGACTCTCATAATAATGAGGACGTTTTTTCAGTATTTTTACCTACAGAATCCTTTTTTTGGCCGTCACATTGACACCTGAATCTTCCAGACACAACAGAAGTGTGATGTTTCCAGAAGACCGGCTGTGTGTGTGTTACCTTCACTGACCTCTGTGTGTGTTTGTGTTGCAGCAAAGAAACCGCTGAAGAAGTCGCCAGTGAAGAAAGTTCTGACAGGAGGAAATAAAGGTACTGTTTGTGTTTGTGCTGAACCGAAATCAGGACTTGTTGATTCACAAGAGAAAAGCTGGAACCTTTAAAATGTTAGCATTAATGTTTATTGTTATTTTATGTTTAATGTCCCACAGTGCTGTACAGAGAGCATTACAATACACAGTAAACAAGAGAAAACATACCAACAACAACAGTAAAAGTGTGTGTGTGTGTGTGCAGACTGTCAGATGGACATCGCCATGGTGATCGACAGCAGCAACAACATCGGGCAGCGGCGGTTCAACCTGCAGAAGAACTTTGTGGCTAAACTGGCGGCCATGTTGAGAGTCGGACAAATAGGGGGGCCGCATATAGGCCTTGGTCCAGGCCAGGTCGGACCTAACGCACCCACACACAACGCGCACACACACACACACACACACCAACACCCACACAACACACGCGCACACACACCTCCACACAGACTAATTCTTATTAAGGTTAAAATAAGATAAAATAACAATATCAACATTACCACTTTACAGTTTTTACATTCCATTTCAACTGAAAAAAAATATATCCAGATGTTGCTGATTGTAAGTGTGCTTGCGTGTGTGTGGGTGTAGTGTGGTGTGTGTGTGTGTTGTGTGTGTGTGTGTGTGTGTGTGGTGCCGAGTGCAGGTGAATCTCCCCGGAAAGAGTTCCTTATGACCAACTACACCAAAATAAAAGTGCTGTTTGCCATAAAAGGAGCTGGCGTTTTGGGAGGAGATACCAAACAGGTAACACACACCCACACACACACACACCACACATGTACACACCACACAACCACACACACCACCACACACGTGACTTGTTTATATAACTGTTAGCTGATATATTAATATTATATCTCATATATATAATCTTTAACTGCTGTTGTCGGCCTCGTGCAGGTAAGGCCATCATGCACACGGCAGAGACCTTCTACACTCAGGAGAACGGGGGGAGGCGGGGTCACCCCCGGGTGATGATGGTGCTGATTGATGGCTGGCCGTCTGACGACCTGGACCAGGCGGCCATGTTGGCCAGAGAGTCCGGCATCAACGTGTTCCTGGTGTCTGTGGCCAAACCGGCACCTGAGGAGCTCGCCATGGTGCGAGACAAAGAGTTCATGAAGAAGGTCTGCACATTATTTACATTTTCAATCATTTATTAAACATTTGAAAAAGGTTTAAATTTTTAATGTGTTCTGGAGATATGACCTGTTTCCATGACAGCAGACCGTCTCCTTCTTCCTGCAGGCGGTGTGCAAAGATAACGGTTTCTTCAGTTATTTGATCCCCAGCTGGTTCAGCACCACCAAACATGTCAAACCTCTCACCCAGAGACTCTGCTCGCTGGACGGCCTCCTGTGCAGTAACTACAGCTCACCACCATCACACAGTTTACTTCATACTCCTATTTTATTACACAGACACATTAAATGAAACAATAACGGCTCGCATCATTTACTAAATGAACATCAGTATGGAAGAAGGGACTGAAACTAGAGTTGAGACCCATAAACTCGATCAGGAAAACTGTTTACTGAACTCATAAATCAAGTCAGAAGTAGACTCGTTTCTCCATAAGACTGAATGGTATCAGTATGTTTTTGTAGCTGACAAAGCTCCCCCTGTTGGCCTAATATGAGCGACATAAACAACAACCGTGTGTTTGTATGTTTTTAAGGTAAAACCTGCTACAACTCGGTGAACATCGGGTTCCTTATTGACGGTTCATCCAGCGTCGGAGATGGAAACTTCCAGCTGGTCCTGGACTTCCTGGCAGGAATCGCCAGAAGCTTCGACATCTCAGACGTGGGATCTCGCATCGGTCAGCTTCACGATGCAAGTGATTTGATTAATTGATTAATTTGAGCTGATTGGCTGACGGACTGTGTGTCGGGTGTCCAGGTGCTGTGCAGTTCACCTACGATCAGAGGTTGGAGTTCGGCCTTTATGACCACTCCACCAAAGACAATGCCATCAACGCTCTGAGGAGGATTCCTTACATGAGCGGAGGAACAGCCACCGGAGCAGCCATCAGCTACACCACCCAGAACCTGTTCAGGTAACACCACACCTGGCTGCTGTATTCTGCTTCCACATGGAAACACCCAACCATGTTTTAATAATGATGTTTTGATAATGAATTGATCCTAAGTATGCTGTCCTGCTGCCCCAAATACTCACTAGAACACCAAATCCGCCACTGAAAATAGTCCCCAACCTGTTAAAGGTTCTATATGTTACTTTCGGAAAACTGTTGATGACACCAGTGGCCGATAATGCAACTCAATTCAGTTTTATTTGTATAGCGTCTATTCATAACAGACATTATCTCAGGACACTTTTCAAATAGAGACCCAACAGTTCCCACTATGTTAGCTTAGGCAGCATACATACATGTTTAAGTAAGTAATTAAGTAATGTTTGATAAAAACTACAGTGAGCTGCTGTTTTATGAAAGAAATTAGCTTTTCTTTTAAATGGACACATATGTATTTTTTTAAGATTTATTTATTGTCTTCAGTGGGAACTAATACGTTTGAAGCTTAGAGCTTAAGACAGGAAGTCAGAAAGTAATTGATGCATTTCACAGCAGCTTTTATAAAACATTTGCAATGTTTTTAGGCATTTTTATGTAATGAAACTGCGAAAGAAAGTAAAAAAATTTGCAAAACTAGATTTTTTTTTGTATAATTCATTAAAAATAAAAGGAAAAAAACTAGTAGTTTGGTAACGTAGCCTGAACAACTGTCAACTGTCAAATTGCAAGACCACACAAAAGGGACCAAATCGATAATATTATCAGACATATTCTGTGACGCAGTGGTTCTTTAAAATGCTGCAACGTTTTGTGACCATTTACCCAAAAAGTAATTTTTGATACCTACAATTTTAATTATTTCACAGCCCCTGAAACTCTAAATTATAAAACCAACATTTAAATGAAATATTTCTACAGTCTGTGGAAATATAAACTCAATTTGTCTCCACCAGGCGGACAGGACCAGGCCGCAACTTCCTTATCGTGGTGACAGACGGCCAATCATATGATGATGTGATGAGCCCGGCGGTAGCTGCACGGAAACAAGGTGTGTATGTTAAAATGAAGGAAGAACAACTGCTGCTGTGTGTTTTTCAGTTCTTACTGTAATCCACATCTCCACCGATCACTAGGCATCACCATGTACTCGGTGGGCGTGGCCTGGGCACCCCTTGAAGACCTCAAAGCGATGGCATCAGAGCCCAAGGACAGCCACACCTTCTTCACCAGAGAGTTCACTGGCCTCGCCGAGTTCATCCCGGCGCTGGTCCGAGGCATCTGCCGAGACTTCACAGAGAACAACTAAAAGCAACGTGTTTGTGCTTCTGTATTTGTGACGAGAGCTTTACCTGTAACTCCAGCTTAAACAAAGTATGAACCCTCCAGCAGCTAGAAGATGTGATGACTCGACAAAATGTCCTCACTTTGCAGGTAGAGAAACAGGTCATCACAAAAATAGAAGTACTTATTTGTACTCCTATACACTTGTGTAGTCCCTATACCTAAAACCAAATCGTATCCTTCAAATAGACGTTTGAAGAAGTGAAAACCAGACAAAATTTCTTCACTTTTCAAATGTCCTCACTCTGCAGGTACAAAATCGGGTCCTCACAAAGCTAGAAGTACAAGAGCACACACTGTATATAAACTGTACACATTTACCAACTAATACGGATACATACACATGAAAACACATGTATATAAAAGACACAACATAGAAATTCACACATGTATACCAAAAACATTTTTTTTCTATTTAATGAAGGAGATGTTGGGAAATCACCAAACAACCAATCATTATCATCAACAGTCGAAACCAAAATCATTCACTTCTCACTTCCACTATCAGTGTGTTTGATCGGATTGATTACAATATAAAAGGTTCCCAAATTACCCCCGAAGTACATCAGAAAAACTAGTAAAAATATAAAACTTATAAAAACGTTAACGTCGTATTAGCCAGCAGAATACATTTTAACTTTAAAGCATACTTATTTATATAAAATAGATTCTAACTGTAAAATAAAACCCTGGACCCTGAAGAAACTTCTGGTTAAAGAGAAAAAAAAATTTATTCTGAATATGACTTTCATATCTCATAATGTACTAAATAAATATAATTGTAAGAGTTTTCTTATAATTATGAGAAAACAAGCTTATAGTTACGAGTAATTACAAGAAAATGATTCTTATTTTGTATCTTGTAGTTACAGGGTAAAGAAATAGTTTGAGGCGTGCTTATATTATTTTGTAGTAAATTACAAGATACTAAATAATAATTAGGAAAACTTAACTATTTTAATGAAAAATTAGTTATTTTTCTTTGGGAATGCAACATTTATCCAAAAGTTACAGAACTTACCCATCATTTCTGAAAATTCCTCAAAAACAATTACCTGAATTCTTTTTTTTTTTTTTTTGTTAAAACTATGAAAGACTATTTCGTAAATGGGCTTTCATAGATATCAGCACACTCATTGATCAGTGACCAAGTGAATGATTTCTGATGGATTTTTTGGTAATTAAATTTAAAAGGTCTTACCAACAAAGTTGTCTCCTCGTGGGACACTTTGGGTTTTTTTTCTTCTTGTTTTAAGAAGATTCAGGCGAAGAAAGACACCTTCCAACAACTCATCTGATTTGAGATGCAAACAAGAAATTCCCAAAGTTTAATCTTGATGTTGGGAAATCTTTTCTGTGATAAAATATTCTCAACTCAAGGTGAACACGAGTAAGTGACGGAAACCAATCTGTAATCAATAAAACTACACTGACAATTCTCAAAGCATCTCCTTCTATTTGCCTTTTTAAGTTTTTGTCATAAAACACAGCATCAAATGACTTGTTAATTCTTTATGTTGTAACGTGTAATGTAATGTACATTTGTCAAATCCGTAGAGCACTGGTTCCCAAAGCTCCCACTAGGGGTAGCCAAAGCTTCACCGGGAGGTCGCAAGGTCTTCTTGATTTTAAGGAGTTTAGGGAAACAACAAATATATATGCAGTCGGCCTGTATCTCAGCATTTCATTAATTTCTGTAAAAAATAAATGAAACCAAACAGCTGACTGAACAATGAGAATAAACAGTTAATCTGTCAGAAAGAAGAATATTAAGTCTGATTGTTAAAATGATAAAAATACAGAATACAGACAGAGAATGTATCAAAATATCAGGAAAACTCATCT